TTTTCTAACAGTACATCATACAGAAAAGAACATTTGAAGTGTTCCCTCCTGATTTCTTTCTCTCTCTTTTTGCATATTTGTTACACTTACATGTTTCAGATCAGCAAAAAAATGCTAAACAAAGACAACCCAAGTAACCACAAAATGCAGTTTTTAAATGATAATTTCATTTTTTTTTTTAAAGGAAAAAAGCTTTCCAGGCCTATCTGGGTCTATGTGAATAAGTAATTGCCCCCTAAACCTAATAACCCGTCGTGCCACCCTTGGCAGCAAGAAATGCAACCAAGCACTTAAGGTCACGCCAAAGCACATCGGCATAACTTTGTGCAGAACATTGGGGGGGTCAAGATGTCTGTCTAAATAAATAAATCTGGGTGAATTCCCAGATGATTAAACATGCAACTATTTTGCTAGTGATAACTTAAATAATCAACTGATTATTTAAAACAGCCTAGTTATGCAAGATAATTCATAATTTTATTGGGGGGTTATATTGGTTGGGTCTGATTATTTGGGGGGGTCATAACCCCCCTGGAAATTACGCCCCTGCCTCAAGATCTCTGTCTAAATAAATAAATAAATCTGGGTAAATTCCCAGATGATTAAACATGCAGCTATTTTGCTCGTAATACCTGCAATGAGTAAAGAAAATCAACAGCCTAGTTATGCAAGATAATTCATAGTTTTATTGGGGGGGTTATAATGGCTGTGTCTGATTATTGTGGGGGTCATAACCCCCCTGGAAATTACGCCCCTGCCAAAGCATCTCAATTCGGTTAGGACTTGGACTTTGGTTAGGCCAGGCAGCACATATAGCAGAATAGTACCATAGCTAAAGGGGTGTGAAGTCAGTTGGTGAGTCTGAAAAGTAAATGGATATGACCCCAATTGAACAGAATACAATATCCAAGCATTTTACACTGGAAAATGCTGCACCTGTATCAGAGAGTGCCCACATTTAAGATTATGTTTTCACCCCCTAAAGGTCTCTAAATATAAGGACTCACTTCTTAGGGCTTGGAGAGTTCTGATCTGTCTTTTTCTTGAGCCCATTCTGTTTGGGAGGCTCTTCGTCAGATTCAAAGCCTGTCAGCAGGAACTCATCCACACTCAAGTCTTCTAATTTCCTACAAGAAAGAAAACAATCCATAAGAAGCAAGTCGATCAAAATGTGTGTGTGTGGTCTAACTGTTCTACAGTTTTTAAGTTCACGTGTAAGCATTTTGTTGTTTAGCTGTTCACTTGTCAGTCAGATGCAAATATCTCCCTAAAACACTCAGGAACCTTGTATTATTATTATTATTATTATCATTATCATTATTATTAATATTTTCATGAAGCGAAACCACATTTACAATACAGCAGTCGTATTCGAGTTAGCATGACGACTTTATGCTAGCACTTTAGTTACTAACATACAGCCGTAAAGAGTTAGAATGACTTTCACGACTAACTGGCCAAACTTTAACTTTCAACATCAACATAAAATACTGGGTAAATCTCATTGTATTCATAGCATAATAAAGAAAATATTAACAAACCTTTTCTGTTTCGCTGCCATGCTGGATCTAAAAAACGTGACGCCAAACCTCAATACCCACAATCCTCTGGTGCAAAGCGATGGAATTGGTTTTATGTTTCGCGGATACTGATCGTATGACGGTACTTGCGTTTATAATTACACCGACTAACCGAAATATTATTATTTTTGATAAAATGCTAACGAACTTTATTTGTTTAGTTTTTGATGAAAGTAGGGTCGGCACAAATACAGTGAACAAATAATCAACTGATTATTTAAAAGAAATATCCGATAAGGCGTTCACGAAAACCTCGAAATTTTCTTGCTCGTGCAAGATCGGACACTGTTTTGATGCAACACGTGAGGTTTAAATAAAATGTTCAGCTGCATCTACCAGACACAGGAAGCCAAATATCCAGAGAGGAGTACAGTATTTTTTAAACGTTACTTTGCACGGCCTCAAAGCTGGGCAAGCTTACAAACCGAAGGAAGTCACTGCTGTCATCGCATCGACACCGACGACGGCTGGTCGTGAGTACCCTGTGTTTAAATTTTTTTCAGGTTAGCTAACGTTAGCTTAGCGGCTAGCTTCATAGACAGTTTATTTAGAATCACTGGCTATCTCACGTAGAGATAATAAAGACAGGGTGCTTATTTTACGTCAGTAGTAGGGTGATAAGTGTATAATTTGCACGTAAATAACGAGAAAAAAAATTACAGAAGCTGTGCATTATTGAACATGGAGTTTCACATTTAATTTTGTTTTCCGGGCTAACCAAAACGGGGTATGTTTCATATTGTGGTCAAAGGAGCTTGCATATTGTGGCCAATCACAGCGCGTCACTGAAAACTCCGCCTTTCACAGTAGCACAGACGGATACGCCGAACACACTTCCGTGTTCGGACAAGACAAAAGGGGTGGCTTAAGGTCGTGTGTGTCTGTCGGGTCTTAAACTGAACATTCACTACATTAGTTTGGCGGTTGGTCATTTGAAATTACATACCGGTGTTTTTCAACCATGTCTTCCTTTTTAACGTATTAAAATTTAACAGCATGAGCAAGCCTTGCTACCTTTGGCTTCGACAATTACAGCGCCACCTTAATAGACCGATGTCAGCTTTCAGGCAGGTCTTTTTTTTGCATTGACGTCAAGCACATACAGCACAAAACAGAGGCTTTCTTCATATTTCCTATGCTCGAGTCACAATATGGACCGATAAGTAGACGGTGGTAGGATTTTAAAGCCTTCTGACTGCGACAGCTCTTCATTCATCTCCCCTTACCTCCTGGAACACACTGTCTTCAAGGATAACTGCAAAACAACCACCGGTAAAGCCATTATACATTCATTTTCTTTCCTATTGCCGCTGCTGCAGCTGACATATGCTCTTATTCAGAGCTGATGGAGTGGGGGTTGGGGTTTCCGTAGATCACATAGTGATTTTTGGATAGGAACATCCCTGTGTCCCCCAATTAAATTGTGCATTCAGCAGGATTGTGCAGGCACTATTTATCAAGGAGCAACTCAGCCTCTGTGTGGATACCAGCCAGGGTTTGGGGGGTAGAGACGATAAAGGGAGAAACAAGCCTTAGATGAACAGGACAAGTGTTTCAGTTTGTTAGTTTAACTGTGACAGTTGTGTTTTCACATCTACCACAACATCCCGTGTTTCCATGTCTCATTTTCCAGTATTGTCTCTTACTATTCCCTTGGGCATGAGAGCAGATTGTTCCCTCATAGAGGAACATGGCTGGTGTGCGTGTTTTTGTTTTTTTTAATGGGCTATTGTGTTTTGGAAAATGGGACCCTGGGGTAGTAGCCAGGCAGCTGTGATGACATTTGAGATGGTGCTCGGTGGGATGGGGGAAGAGTGTTGAATTGAAAGCGACAGAGCCGTTGTTAGGATGTACTGATCATAACAGGGGACTGCTTATTTGACAGTCATGTGAAACTTAACATAATCAGGAAAAATGGTAGAATGGGTTTCAGCATTGAGCATTGCACTTCTTGGACTTCAAACTGGTCAATATTCTCTCCTGATGAGATTCTGCTTGTTGCATAATTGCTCTGATTCACTCAAGATTGTAAACCTCTTGTCATATGTCTAAATAAAGCATACAGAGGCTGTTTGTATGTGGTGGTTCAAAGGGAATGTTCCAGCTTGGTGTATTAAATAGATATCCTAAGGTATGTGTGATTTTTATTTATTTGTTTAATGTGTGTGGCTGCAAGGTCCTGCAGGCAATGGCCACACTTATCAGGGGTCCTGTAGTTTAAGAATCCTTCTTTATCATTAAATTTTAAACATATATCACAGTTTTCCTTTATTTTCAATCATATAAGTTCTTCTACACCAGTGGATGCTCACATTAAATAACAGCAAAGTTTAAAATAATGAAGAGCAGTCAATTAGAAGGCCAATCAGATCGATTGATTTAAAAGAAGAGGATGTAAAATAGTGTTTCGGTGTTTATCTGGGGCTGGGTCGTAGAGGCAGCAGTCTAAGCCGAGAAGTTGGTCTCTTAAGCCACATCCTCGATCTTATCCAGGGGAACATTGAAGGGTTCCCAGGCAAGGGAAGGAGCTTGAGGGAGAGCCCCTTGTAGCCACATTTTAATTATTCGTCTCGATGGAGAGCGAACCAGCGTCTGCTCAGTGGCTAAATACTTGCAAATCACTTGCCAGCAAGAATTCAGTGTTCCTCTGTTTCACACTCACATCCACTCCTCGCTTGTCAGGTCAGGTTTCAAATGGAAAGGATGGTAGTGATGTTGTGCTGGCTGCGTCCGTCTTTCATATACAGTTTATGGGATGAATTGTGGTCTCCAGGGTCCTGTTCATCCCAGATAAATATTCATTTTTTAGCTGCATTAGATAAATAAGAATTATTTGAAAGCTATTCTTCAAAGGTGGAGCTGCAAATTAGTATGAAGGTTATATTTTGATAGCGTGGCCTCCCCAACCCCCTGTGTCAGCTTCTGCTTATATGCCTTTCACACTTTTAAGGTATCACTGCATCAGAGTTAGTACATTATATTTTGTTTTGTTTAAGAATCAGTCTGTTCTTGGCCTGTGGTTTTCTACTCTTGCTTCAATCTGGTTTCCTCATCTGGTCACTACATATTCATCAGACAACAACTTCTAAGATGCTGCGTGATGACAGTTATGCAACATGCAGAAGTGTGTTCTTCCATTCAAGAGCAGCGTGGGGGAGTTCACAGCTAAATGTGGTCCAATTACATTGCAAGTCAGGATGGATCACACTGATTTGATGGCAGGCTCATGCATAATGTCCATCTTTTGAAACTCTCTGGTGTGTCATAGTGAGATCTAATCATTCCTGAGACTGAATGTGAAATAATCAGGCCATCCATCCTACTACACTTTGTGATTGTACTCAGATTTCTGTCATGCTGGCAGGACTTCCTGTCATAGCCGACAGGATGGGTGCTATAACTGTAATGATAGGTACAATGATTGGCCAGGACACCTGTCATAACAGCTCAGTCCCTATAGATGAGCAAAGCCAAGACTTTTGTCTACCCCCCCCCAAAAAAGGATTTTATTATGATGCTGATGATATTAGTATTGGCCGACATTAAAAAGCTTTTCTTGACGTTTCAGTTGCCAAGAGTGCGGCCCAGGCACGAGCCCACGACCGCAACGTCAGGCACCATGATGGAGGGGGGCATGCAGCTGCTCAACCGTGATGGCCACAGCATCTCGCACAACTCAAAGCGCCACTACCACGACTCCTTCGTGTCCATGAACCGGATGCGACAGCGTGGCTTGCTATGCGACATCGTCCTTCATGTCTCCAACAAAGAAATCAAGGCGCACAAAGTGGTGCTGGCGTCCTGCAGTCCATACTTCCACGCTATGTTTACCAGTAAGTTCAGTCTGTGTTATGGACCTTAATGATGCATATACTGTATACTGTCCCTGAAGTTAACAAAGATGAGCAAGTGGCATGACAAACTCAAACTGCAAACTATTTCTCTCTGTTGTTCGAGTTTGTTTACATTAGAACTTGTGTTTTTGTGTGTGCCGTTATGGCTGTTCCATCCTTTCAGCATCATCGCTTCCTTCCACCTATTCCTGTCTGGGGCACAGGTGGTCATGTGAGGTGTGTGAAAGTCAGATTTCCTCCCAAACACTAGCCCTTTGTGAGGTTGCTGTGCGCTCCAGACAGTCATTTGCCTGGAGACTCAGCTGCTAGACTTCCTGTCATCTGACAGAGTCCCTAATTAAGCTATTTTAACAGAAAACCTCAGCAGAGGTGTTTGTGAGGTTGTCTAACTATGAGTCGATGAAGCTCGTGACTGTTACTGTAGAAGCTCCAGGTTCTGTGGGAGAGAGAGTGTTTATATCCAGGAATCTCAAAAATCTCACACACTTGAAACGACCGATTTAATAAACGGTAACAAATGAGCTGTGCTGACATTTTGCAGCAGTGCTGTAAATGTTATGAGATGCCATGTGTCAGTATGATTGAAGAGGGAGGAGTTTTGCTATCAGCTGGAGCTTTACTCGGTGTAATTTGTTAAAATGAATCTGATCTCATTCTGTGCGGCCACGCAGACGAGATGTCTGAGAGTCGTCAGACCCACGTGACCCTTCACGACATTGACCCTCAGGCTTTGGAGCAGCTGGTCCAGTATGCCTACACAGCAGAGATTGTGGTCGGGGAAGGAAATGTGCAGGTAGGCTTGACGTTTTAAGATTCACATACACAACTGCTAAACCACTTTTTTTTTTTCCTTTTTTTTCTTCTTCATATGGCACAAAAAATTAACAGACTTTGCGTTTCCACCTGTTGTAGACGCTGCTCCCAGCAGCGAGCCTGTTGCAGCTCAATGGGGTGCGGGACGCCTGCTGTAAGTTCCTCCTCAGCCAGCTGGACCCCTCAAACTGCCTGGGCATCCGAGGCTTCGCTGACACACACTCCTGCAGCGACCTGCTCAAGTCAGCACACAAGTATGTCCTGCAGCACTTTGTGGAGGTGTCCAAGACTGAGGAGTTCATGCTGCTGCCACTGAAACAGGTAGGGGTGATGATTAATCTATCATGAATAATGCCAAAGCACAAAGGACACGCAGCAATGCTT